ACGCCGACTCGCGCATTGGCAAGATGCTGGACAACCTGATGCGAGCCTTGGAGCGCGACGACCAAGCGTTGGTCTTGGGCCAAGAAGGCAAGACAGTTGTCGACATCATGGTCAAGGCGATCAAGCCGCTTGGCCGGCAGAAGTCGGTCCAACGCCAGCTGGCCCTCCAATGCAACAAGCCGTTGAAGTCCAACGTGTACCGTTTCGTTGACTGGCTGCGCCAGTCATACCGTCGGGTACCACTTGTATGCCCCGGTGGAAGACGAGAAGACTTCGGCACCGCATGCGACGGCAGCCGCAGCACCATCGCGGCCGTCCAAGCCTGGACAATCTGAAGGCAGCGTTGACAGCAGCAGTGGACCTCCCCGGCGCGCCCCAGCCCCCGAGCAAGACAGCCCGAAGTACGAACGCAAGATTTAGACATTTCTCAAGTGCGGCAGCGAGAACCACAAGGTGGTAAACTACCCCAAGTGCGGGCCTGGAGAATCCGAGCGCCTCCTCAAGGAGCAAATGGACAAGTGGGAGAGCGCGCACAACAGGAAGGTGACCAAGCTTCAAGGCAGCGTGAACAAGTCTCTCGGTCGCGAAGCCAAGATCGAAGGCATCGTGTCCGTCACGACGACCCTCCTTGACACCGGCTCCGACGTTACATTGGTAACAGCCGGTGTCATGAAGGCCCTGGAGCGAGCCGGCGTGGAAGTCAAGGTGATTTCACCGGAGCCATCTGTGATCCAGCCGTATGGCCAAGCACCTGCCCTCAAGGTCGACCGCCAAGTGCAGTTCAGGTTCGTCAACCTGGACTCCCCCTGTGGACCTTTGTCCCTGCGTGGACTCAAGGCCTGGGTGGACACTTCCTCCAACGCGGCAGAGCTCCTGATCAGCCGGGCTGTGATGGAACGGCTGGGCTTCTCAGGCGAGTTGCTCAGCCACGCCTTTGCCAAGCACGAAGTCTGGGATGCCAGCGACGTGGACAAGCCGTCTGCGATGGCAAGTGTCAGCCGCCTGACTCAAGTGGCCGCCTCAAGCGACGAGTGCGGTGATGACGGCATGCACTGTGCCACCCACAACATCCAAGTCCCATCTGCTGAAGACGCAGAAGGCGACCGGAATAGGCGACGAGCGGTGGTTGAAGCGGTGATTCAAGACAAGCTCCGTGCCACCGAAGACGAAGGCTTGACCTCGGCCCTCCTCGAGAAGCTGCGACTCCTCCTGGCCAAGCACGCTGATGTATTCCACCTGGAGATCGGCCATGACGAGCCGATCAAGGTGGAGCCGCTGCGGGTGCGCATCAAGCCTGGCGCCGTCCCTGTCAAGTGTGGCGTGCGACGATACCCCCCAGGGGATATGGAGTTCCTGAAGACACATGTGCGCAAGCTAGAAGCAGCTGGTCTGGTGTACCGAAACAACCGCGCAACATGGGCCTCGGCGCCGCGCATCGTCCCCAAGAAAGACCCTGGCGACTTGCGCATGACCATCGACAGCCGGCCTATCAACGCGTGCACGGAGCCTATGCCGAACCTCGACGCCGCCTGACTGTCTTAGTGGGCGCGCAGGCGTTTTTCACCCTCGACTGGTTCAAGGGCTACTGGCAGCTGGCGCTCCATGAAGACTCCCAGATGTTCTACTCCTTCATGGCCCCCTTTGGAGTGTACACGCCTACAAGAGTGCTTATGAGCCAGACCGACTCGGTGGCGTTCTGTCAGTCGGCGGTGGACTTCATGTTTGCCGACCTACTGTTCAAGGGACTCCTCGCCTGGCTCGACGACATGCTTGGCTACGCCGAGACCCCTGAAGACCTCCTTGACCAAGTCCTCACGATCTGCTCCTCCTTCGGCCTGAAGCCCAACCTAAAGAAATGCGACTTCTTCCTGACCAAGGCCGCCTGGTGCGGCAAAGTCGTTTCAACTGAAGGCATCCAGCACTCCCCCACAAAAACCTAAGGATTGTGTGCGCTCGCGCCGCCCGCAACAGTTCATGTGCGCAACCAACTGGATGCGGTCCAGCATCCCCTGCTACACCGAGCTTGTGGCGCCGCTCCGGCAACTCCTTGACGCAGCGACCAAGCAAATTGGAAGTACGAAGAAGATGAAGCTCACCCGCGTCCAACTCACTGCCGTTGGCTGGGACGTCGGCCATCTGGCCTGCTTGGACAAGATCAAGGAAGCCCTCTTGGCGATGGTTCCCATGGCGAACCCACGGGCAGACATGATGGTCTGCCTTTAAACCGACGCAAGTGAAGGCTTTTGGGGCGCGATCGCCACTCAAGTACCATTTGAAGACCTGGCCCTGCCGTTGGAAGAGAAGCGCCACCAGCCGTTGGCCTTTCTCAGGGTGCCTTTACTGGCGCAAGCGAGCGTTGGCCAATCGTGGAGAAGGAAGCGTTTGCCGTTGTGGAAAGCTGCAAGCGGCTGGACTACCTTCTTATCCGCCCAGCTGGCTCCTCCTTTTCACCGACCACAAGAACCTGCAGTACATTTTCAATCCTGCCGGTCATTCCCCAAGCATGGCGAGGTACCAAACGCACAAGTTGGAGCGCTGGGCCCTGGTGCTTTCCTCGTTCCCCTACACCATCGAGTGCCTGCCCGGTGAAGACAAAGTGTGGAGCGACCTGCTCAGCCGCTGGGGCGCCGCTCAAGCCCAAGTGCCAACGAAGTCTGTCCAGCGCCTCCTGGCCATGGTGTCTCCCCTGCAACAGCCCGACTTCGACTGGCCCAGCCCTGCCGGCATCGTGAAGACCCAACAAGTGGCCGTGAAGAGGGGAGAGACCCCGGCAACCGGTGTGGCGTGGAATGAAGACAAGAACCTGTTCCTCGACAAGGAAGACCACATCTGGATCACAGAGCACGGCGTGCTCTTGGAGAATATCGTCCGCGTGGACGATGTGCTCTTGGACTCTGGTTCGGACGTGACCGTTGTCACGCGGGGCGTCGTGGATGGGTTGGACGCGGTTTGGACTGTTTCCCATAGCGTGCCGCATTTGGAGTACCCGTATGGCAGTGACGCCAAGCCAGTTGTGATGACGCGCAGCGTCAAGTTCAACTGCGTGACGCTAGACACGACGTGTGGGCCGCTTGTGTTGCGCGGTCTGAAGGCCTGGGTCGACGACGTGTCGACTGCAACTGAACTCATCGTGAGTCGTCCAGTCATGAAGTTACTGGGCTTCGCTACATGCGGACAGCCAGATGTACTTCTCGTTCATGACGCCTTTCGGCGTCTACACCCCGACCCGCGTGCTCATGGGACAGACGGACGCTGTCGCGTACTACCAGTCGGTTGTCCACCAAATGTTTGGTGAGCTGCTGTTTCGAGGCCTGTTGGCCTGGCTCGATGACTTGTTGGGGTCCGCCAAGACAACGAACGAGCTGCTCGACTTGTTGGACAAAGTCCTGTCCATCTGTGCCTAGTTCGGACTCAATTTGAGCCCGATGTCATTTCTTTTCTGCACGAGGCAGAATGGTGTGGCAAGGTGATTTCGGCCGATAGAATCACCCATTCCCCAAGCCGAATTCAAGGACTTGTGGATTTATCGCCGACGACCGCGGCCGACCTCCAGTAGTTTGTGTGTGCTACCAACTGGATGCGTGCGAGCATCCCCGGCTACAACTAGCTGGTGGATCCGTTGCGACGTCTGCTCGCCGTCGCCACCAAGGCAGCCGGAAGCTGCAAGAAAAAGGCATTAGTGCATGTTGCACTCCCTGCCGTGGGATGGTCGCCCGATCATCTCAAGTGTTTCAACGAGGTGAAACACACGTTGGCGCATGTGGTGCCCCTGTCGCACCCGCGAGAAGACATGACAGTCTGACGCCAGTGACCTGTTTTGGGGTGCAGTCGCCACACCAGTACCGCCAGCGGACTTGGATTTGCCTCTCGAAGACGAGCGGCACCAGCCGCTTGCGTTCATTAGTGGGTCGTTTTCTGGCGCGAGTGCGCACTGGCCCATCGTGGAGAAGGAGGCCTATGCCGTGGTCGAGTAGTGCAAGAGACTCGACTACATGGTCGTACGCCCTGGTGGTTTCCGTCTGTTTACGGATCACCGCATTTGGTGTACATTTTCAACCCCAGTGGATCGAACGCCAACATGGCCAAGTACCAGGCCGACAAGCTGCAGCGATGGTCGCTGGTGATGTCGACCTTCCCGTACACCATTGAGTGCGTCTCGGGGGACACGAATAACGAATATATGGGGCGACCTCCTGAGCCGATGGGGTTCGGCTCCGACGGATCAACCAGTTGCGAATGTTCGCAAGTTGATCCATGTTGTGTCACCCCTGCAACAAATGGATTTCGAGTGGCCGACAGCCGCTACGATCAGCGGCATCCAACGTTCAACCATAGAAGGGGGAGGGACCCCCCCAAACGGCGTGGATTGGGTCGACGACTCCCATTTTTACGTGGACCCAGACGGTCGAATCTGGATCCCAGACGGTGCTGTCGACCTACAGTAGCGGATTTGTGTGATCGCTCACCAAGGAGCCAGCGGTCACCGTCGCATCGCAGCGACAACCAAGTCGGTGTCCGACAAGTCTGTGTGGAAGACGCTTTCCACGGCCGTCGAAGCGTTCGTGCGTGCCTGTTTGCACTGCCTGTGCATTGACGGAGAAATGGTTCCCCGTCCATTGGGTTCGGTGCTTCACGCAGAGAAGCCGAACGAGCTCATCCAATTCGACTGGTTGTCGATGCCCATGGCCAAGTCTGGCCAAAAACAAGTGCTTGTCGTGAACGACGACATGAGTAGCTTTGTACAGCTGTTCGCGGCAGAGTCCGCTGACGCCGCCGCGACCGCTCAGTGTCTAATGACGTGGTTTACCACGTTCGGCTGTGTTGACACATGGGTGTCAGATGGCGGTTATCACTTCAAGAACGAAGTGATCGAGAAGGCGCGGAAGTTGGTGGGTGCCCACCATCATATCACGACAGCCTACAGTCCTTGGGCGAACGGTACTGTAGAAGTAGTCAACCGACTAGTGCTACGCGCCGCGAAGGCACTGCTCAGCTAAATGATGCTGAACGCGGACGAATGGTCGCTTGTGTTGCCCCTCGTTCAAGGCGCCCTCAACCATCAGCCGGCGGACCAGCTGGGAGGAATTGCGACTGTGACAACGTTTACCGACCTGCCAGCCAAGACCCAGCTGGCAGGATTTGTCCACCCGACGTCCAAGGAAGTTTACGTCGCGGACTGGCTTGGCGCCGCCCGTCAGAAACATGTGACGGACCTCCAAGTGGCGTTTCAAGAAATGCACCGCCACGTGGCGGTGCAAAGCAACAAGTTGCGTCAGCAAGCGCGTGGACGTCGTGACCGAAAGTATCAAGTCAAGTTTGCGGGTTTTTCGGTCGGCGATTTTGTGCTCGTCGGATCGGTCTTCAACCTTTCGACAAAATTAGCGCTGCATTGGCGAGGGCCCTGCCAAGTGACCAGAGTCATCACACACCATGTGAGGGAGACTCAGCAGCTGGTGCCACCGTATAAAGTCACGGTCCATCATGCGTGCTGATTGAAGATGTACCACGAAGGTGGTAGAGAGGTGAAATCGCGTTTGGTGATGGTGGATTTCATGTGGAGCGCCTGGACGAAGCGCGCTGCGTGGATGGCCAACACCAAGTTTTGGTGAAGTGGCTTGGGCTCAACGATGAAGAATCATCCTGGGAACCTGCGGCGAATTTGCTGGACGACATTCCAGTCATGTTTCGCAAGTGGGCGGCGGCCAACAAGACCGACATTCCAGTCGTATTTCACAAGTGGGCGGCGGCCAACAAGGAAGACCCTACCGTGGCCGCCCTCACCAAGACACTGGACTTTGCGTAGGAGGGGAAGTGTTCTGCAGCGTGCAGAGCAATTGGGTCGCGCGTTAGTTTGACCCATTGCTAACACACACTCTGTGTGTGTGCCATGTCAATGGTTCCGATACTTTAGTGGAGGTACTGAGTACTTTAGTGAATGGTAGTCAGTAGGCGCCTCGCGGCGTGTTTAACCTTACTAATGTCAGTGTGTTGTATTTGCTACCTTGACGAAGGTCCCGTGGCCGAAAGCCGAGAAGAAGCGGGAGACAAAACACACTTCACCGAATGTCCAATCGATTCCTCTTGTCAGGAAAAGTGGCAGATAGGCCGCATGCCGTGCAGCTACCCGAACAAGGCCTGTGGTACAACTATTCGTATTTACTAGTAATCCGTAAGTCCAGTTAACTGTAAGTGTGTGTCCGAAGCAAATATCAAGCAAATATTTGTCCGAGTCGTACAGTATGGTATTACATTGTTCATCATCGCCGCACAAGACGCTAGAATCAAATCGTGTTCAGCCTGAGAAAAAAAGCTGCGATGCACTACTTTTAATTGCCATTTTGAAGGATTGGCATCTTCCTCAATCGATTGTGCTTACATGTTAGTTGCTGGACTACACAAAACGGTTGCATAACTTTTAAAAATATGACATTTACACAGTTAAATATTAAAAATATATAATACCAGTATATCATAACGATGTATGCTTTAAATTACTAGTAACAATAATTGTTTGCCATCTTGAGCAATAATTTCTTTATGCTATATTTGAAGTTCATGCCAAAATGCTGTCTTCAATGTGCTTCGTGGCTCAGAGATCGCCGATCAACGCAAGGTCATGGTTCAACATCATCGATGTATGTAATGAAGTATCATGGACGGTGTTATTTTGCTTATTGCAGGATATAATCACACCCAAAGTAAGCAATATTTCAGATTTTTGGCATTTTTGAGGTCACTTCACGCATGCTAAATATGTGCAATCGTAGTACACCATATCTTATCCAATCATGTCTTCATTTTTCATATTAAATGTATCACGCCCAGACATGTCGTTACTGAGCAATTCAACGACAATTTCATGTACTTTCTGAATAGTCTATGTAGTCATAAATTATGACAAACATTGATGTTACCTTATGTTAACTTGATGCTATATTTCGATGTTATCTTTTTAAATTATGGCATATTTATATTAAAAATACGTAACGGTATTCTCGTGGAATGTAAGTGGGTGGGGGTACATTTCCAAAAAGCATCGTAACTGGTGGCCAAAAGTTGTAGTCCATACGTTTCCGTTTTGATCAGCGGAATCGAATACAAAGTCGTCTTGCACCAAAACTCGTCACCTTCGCCTAGACATACGTTCATTCTCTCTTATGTCGCCAACGATGGTACATTCCACGAGAATACAGTACCGTTACATATACTATAGCTATGACATAATTTAAAAAGATAACATCGAAATATTGCATCAAGTTAACATAACGTAGATGGCCAATTTATGGTGCACTTAGAAGAGACCTCGCCGTAGAATGCAGCTTACTCGTCTCTCAGGATTGGGATTTCAATTCTGAAAAGTGCTGCATGAAGCCGGAAGGTTGGACATTCTTCTGATTTTTAATCGGCTTGAATTCACTTCAGCTAAGCGTTGATTTACTCCGAATTCCGCGCAAGTCAAGGCAAAATAGGAGCTTAAAATATGTATGCTGTTATTGCTTATTTTTGGTGATTTAATTTTTCTAGTGATTCGATTGACTATACCTTAAACTGCCCCGTGCAGCACAAACTGGCCATCAGAGTGCACTGTGGCTTCCTTGCCATATAATTGGCCAGGACGACGACCTTAATCGACTTCGAAAATGCACACGTAAGAGCATCTCCACCGCAACTCCTGATGGGCTGGAAATCACGACAACTAGTTTCGTCTGGGCAGACCCGCAAAACGTAATATAATTTTGAAGGAAAACCTAGACAAATCTAAATTTAAAATAAAATGTATTTGAAATGTAAATGGCCCGGTTTACATCTTGTAAACTGAAAATTCAATACTTTGACCTAAACAAACCTAACGTGAGCAATCAGTGTTATGCCAATGCATCAGTGATTTGCTAAGCTTCAATAGCCAATAGAATTTCAGAAAATTGATCTGATTCGAGATAAATGAAGCCTTTGACAAATAATACTAGTACCCTTTAGGATATTATGCTCCTCGAGCGATAAACCGGACATACATGACGTGTACAATTTATATATATCGTGAATATAAATTTTCTGTATAAAATGATAGTTTTGTTTCGTCGAAGCCCGACCTGGCGATGGATATAATTTTTTTGTTAATTCAATTTTATTTTTCTTCAATAGTTCACTTATCAAGGCTTAATAAATTTAAACCAATAAATTTAGCACACAGTGATAACATATAACATAATAAAATATTTATTGAATATATAGAAATATTTTAATAATTTCAAAAAAAATACTTTTAGAAAAATTCTTGTACAACCTCTAGGACTCAAGCTACAATACCAACTTCAGTATAAGAGCATCTCCACCGCATTAACAGTAAATCAACACACCAATATCCGCATAATGTTCGGATAACAACCTCCAGTATTGTAATGGACTGATAATTCAGGATAATTCGCAAAAGCCCAACTCCAGACAGTAAATTCACCATCATTCGACCAGGCAGCTCTCCTGAGTGGAAACCCGCGTTAATTTCGACTATGAGGTATGCTTATCACCAGGAATGGCACGCAAAGATGCGCAACATGCATGCAAATGTACAGTACAAAGTTATCCTTATCACCAGGAATAGAATCATAAGAGTCATCACCACAAGTCATAAGTTATTGACTGCGGCATACATACTGTGCCAGGGCCGCCACAACTGCACCTCGACCTACTGTATGCCATCACCGACACTGGAGGCTTCGCTGCTCCATGTTTATGCACCGATGTCGCTATCCGGCCACTATAACCGGATACTGACTCCAGCAAATCCAGTACAAGTCCATCAAATCTGTGTGACTTTTACTGGAATATTTGCTGGTCAGCAAAGTACTGAACCGGATAATAGTGTGGTGCGAAAATATTTCAGTAAATTTTCAGTAAATCAGCACACAGATTTACTGATTGGCCAATTTACTGGGCGCGGTGGAGATGCTCTAAGGGTAATTAACAGTCATTTGACCTATCCAGCATAAGTTAAACAAAATACAACTAAAGCCAATATAAAACTTTAAATACAGTACTTCTAACTTCTGAAGAATTTGTATGATATTAATAAAAAATAAAACATTCCAAATAAGATTGGTGGTGTTATAGCTATAACACTACCAATTTTATTTGGTCTAGATCTGAATAAATGCGTAAAAAGGTAAAAAGTACCCTTCAGGTACTATATGTATATTCTATACATAAAAATAAAGCACTTGATAATATACTACCTCGAAGTATGACTTAACATTTGTAATAAACTACCTTCAATTCCTCCCGTAATTTCTGAACGAAAAATGGTGTTGGTTGCTATGATTCAAGCTTATGTTTTTACAATATGATGTTTTTCCACAGATAATAATGAATTTTTAATATATCTCATTTTTATTTTTAAGAATGAACCGCTTAAAATTTATAATTACTTAATAACAATAAATATAACATTTAATTTTTTTTATTTTTATTCCAAGGATTATTTGAATTTAATACTTCTTGCTCCTTTTACAGCAGAAGTACGTACCACTCGTTTAGCCACGTAATGCCGACGCCAAAACAAATACATAGTTTAACCGAGATATTTCTTATGTATACTTTGCCTTGCACTTTGTTTCCCATCCGAGCGGGTGTCTACGTAGTAAATGTTTGCACGATACTAGCCGTTTACGAATATTTGCGAATCCTCGAATATCCGGATTCTTGAAACGGTTGTCTTTCTGCCGCAACAACACGCACCCTTACTTCCATAAGAAACGAGTTCAACATCTCACTCGGGCTCATTGTGTTGGTATAACGAGGGGACCCGTTGGATTTGGCGAGCCTCGACGAGTCGGACAAGTCGCACATGTTTCCGTTCCCAGTCGTAATAATCAATGGTAGCTTATCGAAGTAGTTACTGTACTTTGTCACAGATGACGACAAAGTACTTCAACCTTGCTGCTCCACGTCGGACGCGGTTATGACTTATGACCGCATCCGACGAAGGCAAGCACATGATTCTTCCGCAATGCCTTTGCGGCGAAATCCACAGCAACGTCGCCGCCAGCGTCGTGCTAACGTTAGCATATTATGTTGACAGGGGTGCAAGCCGCCAGATCGTTGCATATGGTGTCTGTCAAGTCCAAGTGTCTTACAGTACACAGTACATACTGTACTATTATTTGATAACGTTCAAGGGATTCGCATTTCATTCGTACCACGGTGCTAAGTAATGGTAAATACTCCAATCGATCCAAAAATGACAATCCCTACTTAGGACACCGGCCAGCACATCCACAAAGAATCACCACAATCATCCTTCACTTCAATGTGGAAGCCACAGTGTAATACTAATACGAAGTACTAGTATACAATCATGATCAGTTTGTTGAGCGCGACCCTGATCCAATTGGACGACGTCGCCTCCGCGCCGTCCATGTCCGCGCACGCCTCCAGCAGCACCCGCTCGATGAACACATCATCCCCGGTCCCGAGAGAGCGTAGAGCAACTTGAGCGCGGCCTTTCCGGCCGCACGATCGTGCGAAATTAGCGTCGGACCCAGGACCATCACGAGGCGACGACGCATGCGTGTTGGGGGGATTGGCGATCCCGGGGTTCGGATGTGGTTTCAACCTTGGGTTCGGAGGAGGTAGTCTGATGGGGGGGGCTCATCGTGGCTGGCGGGTACACAGACGAAGCCGACGTAATCTGCGTGGCCGTTTGGTACTTGAGCGGGGTCGTTTCAGCCGAGACGTCTTGTATATGGCCGAAGCCGGCGCATCGTACATCGCAGACAGAGGCGACTCCCGCGCTGGTTCTTCCAATGCCACTGATTTGGCGGTGAAGGTTTGGTAGACGTGCGGGACAAGTTTGCTTTCGGGAATGCCGCCGCCGTGTGCCGCTTTGGCGCGAATGAGAGAGGAAGACGAGGACGACATGGTGGCAGGTTTCGTTGGTTGTTTCGATGCCGCTCCACTACTAGAGCTGGCGCGCGCGAGTGAGGCGGCGGACGGCGTCTTGGCGTGTTTCGGCACGGACGTTATCGTCGACGGCTGGGGCGCAGAACTCGCTTGTTGCTTCGGGACGTATGACGGCCGGCGGTCCTCTGCTGCTTCCCAGTGCACACCAACATATACTGTACATCAGTCCAATTCTTATAAATCAACCAGTCTTGAGTAAAACACGTACCCATCGCCGATTCGAACGCTTTGAAACTTCGCGGCTGGTGTTTTTCCAGTACGTCCAGGGTAGCTTTGACCATGCGACCAGCTTGCAGCGACGACGTGACTAGGGTGACCATGGCCTCGACACCCGCCTTCTTGAGCCCCATGTCCGGAGTCTTCGAAGCTGTTAGCAAACAAATTAACAATCGTCCGCATTAGCACCGCGTCCGACACGTTTTTATTCTGCTTGGCGATACAGCGATAGATGCCGCCTTGGGCGAGGGACGCGGGTACTTTGTTGGTCGCGGCCTCGATGGTCAGTTTGAGCTCGTCCATCATAGCATCGATCGGCAGCGCGTGCAGCTGGAACAAGTCGAGCGCCTAGTGGGTCGCCCCCAACATGTTGGAATTTTTGCCCAACAACTTTCGCTGCAACACGGGCAACAGGATTCGCGCGTACGAGGCGAACTTGCGGCGGGGGTAGTTCATTATCACGCCCATCACTTCGATCGACTTGGCCACCATGTTCACGTTCGAGTCTTGCGTGTACAGCTTGAGCGTCTACACCAAGCAGCCGTAGTTGCTCGTCGAAAATATGTCTTTGCACACAATATTCGGGTCTTACTGTGAAAATTATACTTATGTCCACTGCTCTAAGGAAATCTCAGATCAAGAATCTGAAGGTCGTTTTGGTTTTGTAGACTCACTACAGTATACGTATACGACACATGCATGGACAGGACACTACACAATTGATGTATGATATGTATTTAACACAATTTTACACTCGCCAGAATGCGTCTAGCCCTTGTTGGCCTTGACCAATGGACAGTTGCCCGTGTTGGGGTCCAACTTTCCATTGCCACCAGCGATGCGATAGCATTTGGTTGAAGGGTAGATGGACATGATACTCGACGCCACCGAGAACGCCAAACAACACGTAAAGACCACGATCAAAATGACCCCAGCCAACTTACTCTTGCCACCCTTCTTCTTGAGCTCTTGCATTTCATTCCGTTGAGGGGGCAACATCCACAGCCACGTCAACGCAATCAACTTGCACCCAAACGAGATGATGTACGAGTACGTTACGTCCCAGCGCACTTCGGTCGTATCGGCCCTGAGGTCGTCTTGCGACAGCATAAAGTACGAGTCGATGTACTTGTAAATGACAGATGCAAATGGCCCCGCCAAGTTAGACACGGTCGTGACCAAGCCATACGTGGCCCCCTCATTGCCGACATCGGCAATTTCCACGGCGCAGTACGTCGCCACAATGAAGCGCACACCGCCAGGGATGTTGTCGGCCAAAGCCACACCCGTGAAGAACCACTGGTTGCGCACGACGTCCCAGATCGTGAAAAAGATAACCATCCCATCGACGAGAATCACACCAATGGAGCCGAGGGCGATGGTCCACCGCCAGTTCCAGTGCAATCCCCACTTGGCCACTACAATCAAAATGGCAGAAAAGATGGCGTTCCCAATGATGGACGACAACGAGTCGTTCAACGGCTCAACGCCAGCCCAAGTGCTGGACAAAGGCGTCCCGGCCGTGGACCCGATGCTTTGGAACATGTTGTTGATGAAACGAAAGGCGCAGATTTGCCACATCACGCGCTTCTGAAGCAACACCCAGAAGTTGTTCGCCCATTCCGAGACTGGTACGCCAGGCGATTTCTTCTCTTCGACGACAAACACCGTCGAGAGCACCACGAACACGCACGGAATCAAACAGATGGCGTACGGAACATTGGGGGCCATCGAGAACGAGAACGACCCGTTGTAGTTAGCGCTGTTCAGCCCGAACCCGGTCACGATCAACGAGATAATGCCGGCTAAGGTGCGTACTGTGTAGATGGCCGTTTGAACTCGACCGCGGATGGCCAGCGGTTCGCGCTGGGCGTACTGCACCACCATGGCGTCGGACGCACACGCAGCCGTGACGTACCCCACCGACACAAACATGGACAGAATGATAAACAAGCCCCCGTTGTCTGGCGCGCTGAGGTTGAACAAGTCATGGTCCTTCAACGACGCGTTCGAGTACGGCTTGGTGCACGCGTTGGAATTTCGCTCCTCGGCCTTTTCACGGTTGCAATACGGGTCACCCAACGAAGAGAACGTCATGATCGTCAAGCAGATCATCGTGGCCGTCCACCCGATCAACATCCACGACTTGCGGCGGTAGCCAAAGATTGGGTAACAATCCGACAACATGCCCATGAACACTTTGAACGACCACCCCAAAGTCACGAGGGTGTTGTACGATGCTGTCTGATAGCCTTCCAATTGCAGGTACACGTTGAAAATGGGGTAGTTGAGCGATGGAATCATGCCGTAGATGATGCCGATGGCGGCATATTGAGCGAAGAGGCCCATGGCTTCACGGGAGAACAGGTCCAGGGCGCCCCCTTCAACCAGGGCTCCCTCTTCGAGCTCGCCAGGTGTCTTGGCTTCATCGTAGTCGCCAGCGGCCTTGTCGTTCGCGGCGGACTGGATGTACGACACACGTTCTTGCAGATCCATTCCTCGATCGGTAGTTCTCATCCTGGTCCCTTGGTGGAGGCGAGTGAGATTGGAGAATAAGGCATATTTTGAGGCCCCCCTTTGCCTCAGACCACATGTCTTGGACGACATCTGGGTTTGGGACATGACACTACGGATGGCCATACATATGTATGTCTGTATGGATGTGTATCATCAACCGCATGTGCACCCTTTTGTAGGGCTGGTGATTTCACCTTTTTGGACGGCTCGGCACGCCGAAGATGTTCGCTCTTAACATTTTGGGGCTGTTGCTACGTTGCTCAGCCACACAAGCCGGGATAACGAACGACCAAAACGGACAAAAGTGGCGCCGTTGTCATTTCATTGCCGACGTCTGCTGGAGCTCTGAGGGAAAGCCACACTTGGTCGGATTTACATTGGACAGGAATGTGTACAGGAATGTGTACAGTAGTAACGCGACATTAGTACAGTGCATTGTTTGAGTAGTACATGCATAACAATATCCTTGTATGCTTGCTGATCTTCAATCAACACATCCATGTCCACAAGATTGAGATCTTGCCAGAATAAATCCTATGAATCCAAGGACACCAACAAGTTCCTGAGTGAATTCCAAAACTACCTCAGCCACGGATTTGTAGCTACTACAGCATATATACTCCGAGTAACGGGGTAGAAAGACTGCTCAAGATGAGGCGGAATGCCATCACGACAGAGTAACGTGGAATTTATATTTACGCGTGTACTCTTGTACTGTTTGTAACGTTAAAGCGGGTTTTTCGAACGCACCCACATACACTTGCCCTAAACTGTACTACTACCGTATACCTTATGGATCAGTACCCATGATTTTGCCTTATCGAGTTGTACCCAAATTGCTGTATGGTGTCAATAAAGTACGATTTGGTGGTACCTTGGAAGGCTGTACCCAAGTCGCTTTATATTGGTCAAAAATATCCAATTATCTCGTTCTAGCCAATTAAACAAGTCAAAGTAGAAGAAGTAACCAATCCGAACGCATTGGAAAAAATCAGACAACCTTATTGAGTTGTATGGTGCAAGAAGCCTAGAAACGACGATATTTTGAGCACTATTTAGAGCATTATACCATGTGCAGTATTATTTTTTCCTGGCAAATTAACCACAAAAACGATAGATTTAGACAAAGCGAATCGATCATGTGGTTCCAATTCGCAATTGACGAAAAAATGAGAGAGCTATTTTAGTTTAACCCATCGCCTTGCTACAACAGAAATGTATGGGCTCGGACGTATTTTGGCCACCCATACGTCTTGACGTTTGTATGGGCCAGTTATCCGTACACTTTATCCGTTCGTAGATTGAGTTTAACCTATCATTATCCAAGGTTTAACCTGGCAGCTTACTGTTTAACTCTCATCTCAAGTAGGTTTTATCCCAAAATATATAGGTTAAATAGAAAAGCGTAGGGCAAACGATTTGGCCTGTTCGTCGTTTCTAGCTTTCGTGCACCATATCCATTTCGATCAGATTTTACTGACATTTTCGGGGGTACAGATCCATAAGGTATACGGTAGTACGTAGTACAACTGTACTATTAATACTTCCTCTGTTCCAGATAAAAGTTGTGGAAGAATTCTTTGAACCTCAACTCAGTCAAAAATAACCTAAATTCATTCTAATTAGGCTTTTCATATAGGGGTTACACGTAGCTATTTTGGGATTTTCTTAACTTGAAGTACCGTAGTACATACCTGTATGAAGGCCATATATATTTTACTAAATGGGAAATGGTGTAGAATAATTCCCCCTCATCAGGTACTATATACGTACGTATACATTAGCGTTACTTCATCACACGTAAACTATACCTTTAGCGGGGGAATCCCTTCGATAAACACATACAAAACCCCTTGTAACCTGGGACTTCGTCCTACCCCCGGTGGGCACGGGTATTTCGAAGCATAATATTATTTCCGGGTTTAAGCGCATCACAGCGGTTAGCTATCGCTAACCACTGAGACGCCTTAACCCCTAGCTGACATGCGGTGTTGTTGCTATCATTAAGAATCCAGCCACAATACTAGTACCGTCTAGTTTAATTCGAGTCGGACTGCCATGTGCCGTATCCGAATCCAACCCTGAGACACTTCATTCTTGTTTTCGCTCCGGACATACAAAAATTAGTATTAATGGATGCATGTGTTCACCCTCAAATATATTAACTGGAAGTGTATTATTGTGCTTTGCACCTTTTTTGGCAATTCCAGGGTTAAATTCATTGTTTAAAAATTTCTCAGGCTTAAATAATGTCTAAAGTAACTTGAATAACGGTTGGGTGCGTTGTTTAAAGTTACTTCATCTAATGCGATGATTGGTTGGTTGAAGGTGGTTTTACTGGCACTTTCGTAAAACAAGTTGTTTGCCGTTTTCATTCTGGCAAACAACTTGCTTTACGTCAACATGTCAAGGTGCTTGACGCAATGAAACTGAAGGAGCTATGGCCACATACATGACCTCCCATCCGTGATCACTACAGTACTAACATTATCTACTCCGAGTAATGTATATAACGTTAGGGATATAGTTAGGCTACAGTACATGTAGTCGTCGCTCTGTCCAATGATTCAAAGCTATGCCATACCTTCAACTCTTGATCTGCTCTAACCTTAGCACTGTACGTGGAAGGCAATGGCGCACTACGACTACATGATGTATAGTACTCCCATTTCACATCCTAATACGGTATGCATCGTGATGAACTGGTGGTTGTACGGTGTAAGTTGGCCTGGTGCTGCAACTCGATTAGTTAGCAGTTGAAATAAAGTAAGCGTTGTTTTATTCTGCTGAAATGCAGAACTTGTGTTTAGCGTTGTTTTATATTCAATCGGGCTTATATTATTTTAAACGTCTGGTTGTTTAACGCAGTTAAACAACGGGCAAACTATATGAAAAGCACAATAACTGTAAAGCATCTCCACCGCGCAACTGTAAACACAACCGTAATTTTCTAATACTAGTACTACTATTCGAAGTTACGGATAATATCCGGGAAATTAGGTGATACTTGAGTACCGTTACTAGTACTACGTAGTATTAATTTTCTCGTTTTAGCGATAGCAGTAGGTTTGGCAGTAAAATTAACTTCGGTTTTCCCGGATACTCGGAGTAGCATTTCTTGTATCCGGTAAATTTT